ATAGGCAGCAGGACACTCCCGAGGCTGCCCAAGACAGGGCTGGTCAAGGAAGGCCTGCTGTAAATGGAAATTTCTGCTGACCTTTAAGATGACATCGGCCTCTTTTGCCTTGGATGATAGCTGTAGCTGACATTCAGTGGTATGTGCTCCAGCGTCTTTAGTGCCCCCAGCTGAGCTTGCCATAGGAGTTGCTCGAGTTTCCCTAAGCTCTTCTGTGCTGCTTTTTGGCCACACAAGCCGTAGTCATAACCTGCCATCATGACGAAACTCACAAGGGCTATAGTTAAAAAGAAAAAAATTGAGGTAACTCCTAAAACATGGCTCCTCCCCCGGAGGAGATGATGGAGATGATGGCAGTGGAGGAGAGGCTGTCACCCCTCAGAAGAAAAGGCAGGAAGGCTGCCCCAGCTCCAACAAAGCTAGCAGTTTCACAAACAAAAAAAAAGGTTAGAATTGTCACACAAGCAAAAGCATCGGTAGCAAACCTTGTTTAGAAAAGGGAAGCTGTCACTCCAGCCAAGGTGGCTAAGAACCACAAAAGTGCCAAAGAGGATGACCGTGATGGGGGTAAGGACGGTAACGATGAAAACAATGAGACCATGGATGGTGACAAAGAGGATTCGTCTGAGCGGCCAGTTGTGAGAGCAGTGAAACCAGGGAAAGCAGCAGAGGATGGAGGATGCGGGTGAGGATGATGAAGAGAATGATGAGGAGACAGGTGATTCTGAAGACGATGCTATGGCGATCACACTGGCCAAAGGGAGAGAGTTCCCGTGAAAGCCAAGAGTGTGACCAGAAGGAGGATGAAGACGATGATGATGAAGAGGAGGAGGAAGACAGGAGCCTGTGAAGGCAGCAACTGGAAAACAGAAAAGAAAAAAGGAAATGACCAAAAAGAAGCTCCTGAAGTCAAGAAGCAGAAAGTGGGAGGCTGAGAACCACACCTTTCAACCTGTTCGCTGAAACCTTAATCCCAGCAAACCTGCAGCTGAATGGAAAGTTGCCACCCAGTGGACTTTTTGCTAAAGCTGACCTTGCTGTTGTGGACGCCAGAACTGGTACAAATAGGAAATTCAGTTACATGGATTTTAAGTCTGCTAAAGACTGAGAAAAAGCCTTGGCGCTCACTGGTTTAAAAAAAAATGTTTGGCAATAAAATTAAACTAGAAAAACAAAAAGAGACACTAAGAAAGTTCGAGTTGCACAAAATCGAGCTTTTAGTCAAAAACCCATCTTTCAGTATCACTGAGGATGAAGTGTTGGAAGACGCCATGGAGATCAGATTGGTCAGCAAGGGTGGGACAAGTAAAGGGATCACTCCCAAGTTCAACGCAGAAGCTGATGCCGAGAGAACCTGAATCAAAGCAGCGGGCAGAGGCTGATGGGTGATCTCTTTCACCCTCCTACCCTGGAGAGAGGACAAATACAAGAGAGAGCTTGTAGTGAAACAAAACTTTGGATTTAACTTTCCTACAGCACGACAGAAGAACCACTCTAGGAAGTATTTGAGAAAGCAACTTTTATCAGTGTGCCCCAGAATCCAAATGGCATATCTAAAGGCCATGCATTTATAGAATTTGCTTCGTTTGAAGATGCTAAAGCTTTAAACTCCTGAAGAAAATGGAGACTGAGGGCAGAACGATCAGGCTGGAATCACAAGGATCCAAAGTCAGCCATCCAAAACTCCGTGAAAGGTCTGTTGGAGGAAAGCACTGGAGAGATCTTAAGAGAATCGTTTGAGAGCTCTATTCCTACAAGAATAGCCACCGGTCAGGAGACTGGGTCTCCCAAAGGGTTTGGTTTTATAGACTTCAACAGTGAAGAAGATACAAAAGTTGCCAAGGAAGCCATAGGAGATGGTGAAATTGATGGAAACAAAGTTACCTTGCAGTGGGCCAAGCCTACAGGTAAAGGTGGCTTTAGTGGGAGAAAGGGGTAGATTTGGTGGCAGAGGCCAAGGAGGCTTTGGAGGTAGAGGAGGCTTCTGAGTTGCCAGAGGAGGACCAGAGATGTCAAGCCACAAGCACAGAGAACAAAGTTTGAAACATTTCTTCCATTCCCGCCTTTCCCTCTTCATTTGAAAGATTTCCTGAGGACATTGCAAGACAGTAAGTACACAGACAGCCATGCCATCTAACTTGGAATCTATGTCGATAACATCTCAAGAGAGACACCGTGCTGATTTTGACTGGATATTCATATAAATTTGTTTGTTTTTATGTTTTTTGAAACAGGGTTTTTCTGTGTAGCCCTGGCTGTCCTGGGTGTCTTACTTGTTCTATATACAGACCAGGCTGGCCTCAAACTAAGAGATTCACCTTCCTCTGTCATCCAAGTGCTAGAATTAAAGGCATGCACCACCACCACATGGCTGAGTCATTTAAATTTTTAAAGAAGAGAGATAGAGGGCTGGAGAGATGGCTTAGAAGTTAAGAGCACTGACTGCTCTTCCAGAGGTCCTGAGTTCAATTCCCAACAACCACATGGTGGCTCACAACCATCTATAATGAGATCTGGTGCCCTCTTCTGGAATGCAAGCATACATGGAAGGAATGTTGTATACATAATAAATAAATAAATCTAGAAAAAAAAGTGTAGCCTTAGTATAAGAAGTAATTGTAAAAAAAAAAAGGAGATAGAGCTAACCACTATATATTTTGAATGTATAGTTTCGTCCCATGTATAAAATTATCTTCTTCCTATACACACACACAATCTGATAATATGAAGAACACTTAACGGGTAGTATTTTGTTAGAACCAAAAAGAGCTGCTTCAGACCACTGACAGCAATCGCCCATGGGTGGGCTTGTTAGCCCATTCTACAATGAACAAGTATTGTTTTTATGACCATACAAAGACCATTTAAAACAAGATGTTACCCAAATGCTCCCTGTCCCTACACCTTCCCAGCTCTGTGGTGTACAGGGGAGACGCTGGGTTTAAGAATCAGCAGTCATAGTCATGAAGAGGGAGGACAACAGAGCTGAGCAAGGGGCTCAAGGTGGGAACTCATCTGTAAGTGGCAAGGTTAGCCGGAAGATCCATAGCCAAGTTATACTACTCTCCCGAGTAGTCACAGGCACAGGCAGAGTCCTCCTGAAACAAGAAGCTGTCATTGGGGGAAGCATCAAGACAGACCTCAAAGCCCCTCCCACCCCCCACCCCCGCCCCGTGCTTAAAGGCAAGATGCCAAGAAAGCAGGCGTGCCGCCCAGTTCCATCACACGGTGCTCGTGCTCCGAACAGTCTGAGAATTCCAGGCAGCAGAGATAAAACCTCTGGTTCCACAAGCTGGCCAGCCTCACCTCACCTCCAGCTCTCTTCCCTTTGTAAGCTTCTCTGGCCTTGGCTTTTTCAGCAGAGAAGGCCTGCTCTGGACGTGGACCGGCTGTGCGGCAGGGGCAAGGGCTGTCACAAAAGACTGACTCCTCAGGCCCTCTCAGTGCGTTCTCTTCAATGCTGATGGAAAATCCTGTGTGCCACCACCACCACACAGATGCGGAGAAAGAGGCTCGAAGAATTTCGTAGGCTGGAGAGATGTCTCTGTGGGGAAAGGTGCTTTCTGCCAAGCCTGACCTGAGTTTGATCTCCAGGTCCCACATGAGAGGAGAAAACTGGCTCCTGCACCGACTTCCACAAATACTCCGGACACACACGACACACACGACACACACACATACACACACACCACACACATCACACCATATACCACACACATGTACATCCCAATACACACCACACCATACTACATACCACACACAAATGCACATACCACACACATATCACATACCACCACACATACACACACCACACACCATGACACGCATCACACCATACACCACAATACACACATACCACATACAGACACACCACACCACACACACCACATACCACATATACTACACACACCACACTACACACCACACACACATGCATATACCACACACACACAAACACACACACCACATACCACCACATACACATTACACACCACACATACACATGCATACATGCATGCATATACCACACACATACACCACACTACACACACACATCACACACCACTGCACACACTACATATACACACCACCACACATACACACCACATACCACCACACTCCACGCATACACATGCATACACACATGCACATACCACAAGCATACACACTACACATCACACACCACACACTATCACACACACATATACTAAGTGTAATTTTAAAAAAATGAAGGTGGTTCTTTAAGGTCACTCATGACATTTTCAGTAGGCAAAAGACAGAATCGGAGTCCTCTGGACTCTAACATGGAGTAGGGATGTTTCTCACGGGGTGGAAGATGTCAGAGGGTCTGCTGGGCTCACGGAAATGCTTGGGTAAACTGTGTGCTTCTTGAGCACCAAAACGCCTGGCACAAAGGCACGGACATCCCTTTCCAGGAGTTAGGGTTAGGGTTCACAGGTGCAAGGAAAGTGGGAACTTAGGAGTTTTGCATTTGTTCATAAAAATTAACATCATTTTTTGGAGGAAACTAAAGCTCTTCAAAAACAAGACAAACTACAACAAAACCCCGACGTTTTAAGGCCACACACCACAACCTGTCTCTCACAGTCCTGGCTGTCATCTCCAAGCCCAACCATGAGCAGTCTGGCGTCTCCCCAGGGCTAAAGGCCATGTACTGCCACGCCGGAGCATCTCCCTCACAAACAGCCCCACACTAGTTCCAAGAGCTTGGCTTCTGCTGTTCCCATTCTGCAGTGTGGGCCTCACATGACCACACGCCACGGTTAGCATGGACTGGGCTCTTCCATGTGTTCCTGGCAGGGAGCACAAGCCCTGTAAAGAACATAATGGACACAGGGCAGAAGGGCTGGGGCGCCTCCAGCTTCCAGTCATTTCTTTAGGACCTAGCAAACAGGACAGCTCACGAAACATCCTGATCCAGGGAAAACAAGGCTAGTGTCCAGAGTTACAAAACACACTGAAACCCAACAGCTGTTCACAATTCCATTTTAATATCAATGGGGTTCTGTCCCTCATAACTAAAGTTGGAGAATTACATGGCTTGATGGGATATTAACAATTAGCAAAATTCACTTCAAGATTATAGAGCATTTTAAATATAAAAATAAGTTTTTTAATTAAAAAGAGCACGTGAACAGCCCCGGTTATGTCCAGAACAGCCCCAAAGTCCAAAGGCAGCGAGATCTCCAGCTGTGCCTTATGATTACAAGAGTTATAAGGCTCCAAAACCCCTGGGCATCTTGATATGGAATTGGTTGACTTCTAGATGATTTCCTCTTCAGCAGAACATGTTAGAAAAGAGGCTGCAATGAGTCACCACACTCTGGATGTTCCTGGCCTTCTGCAGAGGGAGTGGGATTGCCTGAGAGGCAAACAACCCCTGTAGGAAGCCCTGGCTGTCATCTGAACAAGCGGGCACCCAGGTCAGCTGGAAGGGATCTGCACTGGCCATCAGGTGGGCACCCAGGTCAGCTGGAAGGGATCTGCACTGGCCATCAGGTGGGCACCCAGGTCAGCTGGAAGGGATCTGCACTGGCCGTCAGGTGGACACCCAGGTCAGCTGGAAGGAATCTGCACTGGCCGTCAGGTGGGCACCCAGGTCAGCTGGAAGGGATCTGCACTGGCCGTCAGGTGGACACCCAGGTCAGCTGGAAGGAATCTGCACTGGCCGTCAGGTGGGCACCCAGGTCAGCTGGAAGGGATCTGCACTGGCCGTCAGGTGGACACCCAGGTCAGCTGGAAGGAATCTGCACTGGCCGTCAGGTGGGCACCCAGGTCAGCTGGAAGGGATCTGCACTGGCTGTCACATGGGGGTTCAAACCCAACTGGAATCTTCCTTCTTCCCGTTTGCATCTTCTAATGATTCACGGTATGGTTAAAATGGCCCTGCAATGGTGAGAGAAGATACTGTGAGTATCGATTCACCCTGTACTCATTAACAGGCTTCAGCTACGTAGTCACCAACACAGAGGACACCATTTATAATAACTGGGCTAAGACGGGTGAGACGGCACACACCTGCCAGCACATATAAAGCTATGACAGGCACACTGCCAGCGTAGGCCACATAATAACTCCCAGGCCAGTCTGGGTTTCAGAGTGAGACCCTGTCTCAAAAATAAGATAATAATAATTGCTATATCAATAGGAGAGGGGGAGAGAAGGAGAGAGAGACATACACACTAGGCTAGCTCTTGCGTGCTACCTCTCAAGCACTGGGGATGCAGGGTGGGACACCGGTCCTGGCTTGTTCTTGTCATGACTTCTAAGGCACAACTTACAGATGTATTAACATGTACTGCACTGTAATTAAGGCAAAATATTTCTAAAGCTGCCCAGTCATATAGAATATTCTTAACAAATGTTATATTCTTTATTACTTGGAGAAAAAGGATGAAATATCATTCGGTTACCCATAAAATAAAATTTTAAAATGCACTGTCAAAATACTGAATCGGGATTCAAAGCCACAGGAGTGTGGCTTGATCCTCATGTGGACATCTGGAAGTAGCCCAGGATCACAGTGGTCCCTAGCAGGGCCCCTCACATCCCTCCTGGAGCAGGCCTCTTTCCATATCCCCACAAAAGCAGATGGGAGAATGAGAAGGTTGAGGATGACGGCGGGCAGGTGCCATACTGCTGTGCAGCAAGAGCTCCCATCAGCATCCGAGAGTCTCTGTCACACTGGGCTATGAGCACTGACACACAGTAGTGCTTTCTGGCCACAGGCTAAGGAGGGGTGGGCAGCCCTGCCTGTAAGGTCCACACCAAGACACTAATGGGTTCCCCGAGGGGCTGAGGTCCCAGAATGTTGAGTGGTCAGGAAATGAGGGGATGACAGTCCAGTCAAGGCTTCCCTCCATCCTCCAGAAAGCAAGTGCTGCCAACGGGAAAGACTCAGACATTGCTTGGAGAAGACTGGGAGGTGGCCATGGACCCATTTTATACCAATGGCTCATGGCTCACCCGGGCCATGAGAACAAGGTGCTACGAAAGTCAGGACTGCACATGTGTCTACCTTAGGATGCAGAAGACATCCCAGGCAGTGAGAACAATGTTGAGGTCAGAATGTTCTAGAACCAGAAACAGGAGCCTAGTGTGCATGTGGCACACAGGCAAGACCGGATGATCTGTCTAGAAGGTCAAGTTCATTGAGGTCAAGAGGACACTATAAATCATGATGGGGAAAGGTAGAGAATTCAATCAAGAACACATGGGCTGGAGAGATGGCTGGGCTGGAGAGATGGCTCAGAGGTTAAGAGCATTGCCTGCTCTTCCAAAGGTCCTGAGTTCAAATCCCAGCAACCACATGGTGGCTCACAACCATCTGTAATGGGGTCTGGTGCCCTCTTCTGGCCTGCAGGCATACACACAGACAAAAAAATACTGTATACATAATAAATAAATAAATTTTAAAAAAAAGAACACGCCGGGCGTTGGTGGCGCACGCCTTTAATCCCAGCACTCGGGAGGCAGAGGCAGGCGGATCTCTGTGAGTTCGAGGCCAGCCTGGTCTACAAGAGCTAGTTCCAGGACAGGAACCAAAAGATACGGAGAAACCCTGTCTCGAAAAATCAAAAAAAAAAAAAAAAAAAAAAAAAAAAAAAAAAAAAAAAGAACACATAAAAGCATGTGTGAGGACATGTAAAAACATATGAGAACATGACATAAAGAATATATACAAACATATATCATGCAAAATTATAGAAGATCATATAAACAAAGACAAAAAACAAGGTCATTGAAGAATATAAGAACATACATCATCATAGAAGATAATCATAAGCATAAACAATAACATACAATAGCATAGAAAAACATCTAAAGAACATCATAGAATATACAGGATCATAAAAAACAAACAATAACAGCACAGAATATATAAGATCATAGAACATCATATATGATCATATAAGAACACACAAGAGCATCATATAAGCACATGCAAGATCATAGATGAATATATAAAAACATATACAAACATGAAATCATATAACATGGAAGAATGTCATATTAAAAAACATATAAGATCATAGGAGAACATCTAAGATTATACAAACACATACAAGACCATAAAAGAATATCCTATAAGAACATCCAGGATCATAGACGATCATATGAGAATAAACAAGATTATAGAACACACAGGCCGTGTTCCCACAGTCCGGTACACACTGAAGACAGGCTGCAGGCAGAATGCATAGACTCAGGGACCAAGACAGGTCATCAATGTGAGCACAGTGACCTGCAGTCTTCAGAACTGTCCATTCAGACTTCCCTCACGCCATCCCTAATCCCCACTTAGGAACTCACCCCTGATTTCTTTTTCCCTCTTTCAAATATTGTTGTTTATTGAAACAGGGTTTCATATAAATTATTCTGGCCTCCAACTCCACATGCAGCCAAGGCTGTCCTTGAACTCCTGGGCCTTCTGCCTCTAAACTCCAAGTGCTACAATTACAGGTAACTGTCACCATGTCCAGTTTTGCCTCCTGAGTTTCCACATTTGTCCCAGCTTGTCAGTGTCTTTCAGGACACATGGCCTGATCTGCACAGGGACAGTCTAGGGTGGGAACGGGCTGAAGCCCTGAGATTCCGGGACTCACAAATAACATACACCATAACACCAGGGCCATGTCTGATAGGGATGCTCTGCTCCTTGGGTCCTAGCTTTGGTGAAGTCAAGAGCTTTAAGCAGGGTTTGCTGTGTCTTGGCAGTGCGTCTTACCACAAAGAAACAGGAAGCCTGCTGCTGTGGACTGTTACTTTAACTACGTAAGGATGCGTTCTATTTCTTATGCTGCATTTGTTAAACGAGGTAAAGATGTGTTGCTTTGCCTGCCTAAGGCCAGTGACTGGGCTAATGAAAACCTGAACAGCCAAAAGGCAGTAGAGAGAAAGGCAGGGATGACAGGCAAAAAGAGTAAAGAGGAGGAGGAATCCAGGTTCAAGAGAGGAGAGGGAGAGAATGTGGGAGAAAGGGGAAACATCTAGGGCCAGTCGGTCACCCGCAAGCCAGGCATGGAGGAAGAAGTCAAAGTGGGACACACAGACTGAGAGAAAGGTAAAAAGCCCCAAGGCAAAATGCAGATGAACAGAAACAGGTGAAGTCATAAGAGCTAGCGGGACAAGCACAAGATAAGGATGAGCATTCCTAACTAATATTCAGTTGTCTTGTCATGATTTGGGAGCTGCCTGGTGGCCCAAAAGAAACCCTGCTACAGCCTATTTCTGTTGGTAAGACTTACATAGAGAATCTAAAGCAACAGTGAAAAATAAACCAAATTCCAGTCTATTCTCACTTAGCAAGCAAGCAAGCAAGCTAGTTTTGAAGGATATTTATTTTGTATGTGCACAGATGTGCAAGCCGTGATGTGTATGTGGAAGTCTGAGGACAGCTTTGGGGAGCTGGTTCTCTCCACACATTTATGTGGGTCTTGAGATGAACTCAGGTCAGCAGAACTGACAGCTGGCTCCTTTACCTGTTGAACCATCTCAAGGGCCTCATGTTCTTATTTGCTTCTAGTATTGGGATAGAAATGGACCCGTGCCCAGTGGTTTCCAGCTGTACTCACTGCCGGACGCCTTCCTAGTGCTTCCTCGGGGACAGAATCTATCCATCAAGAAATTCTAGTTCCAACAAAACAACTTTCAAAACCGACTTAGAAATTAAGACATTCTTAGACAAGCAAACACAGAAAATCCCCTGCAGGATGCCTATTGAAATACTGGCATCCACAAAGGATGATGACAGTAACCACCTGCACAATTAAGAACATGGATGGGGCTTCTTTTTCTAAATTACTGTTAGTGAATATGACTCTATGGTTTTGCATATTTGTCTACTCCGCCCTCTTGCTTAGTAGAAACCTGCAGGCTTTCTTGGATATTTTATGTAGACGGATTATGTATAGAATCTGAAAACAACAATGCAAGTGAATCTGTTTTTCCCTCCCAATTCTTCTACTCATTGTTTCTTTGTTCTTGTCTCACTATACCGGCTGGAAACTCTAGTACACTGAGCAAGAACAGGCACAGCAAGAGTCCTTGTCTTCCTCCTCAACAATGGAAACAATTCCATGAAGTATAGTGTTCCGCTTCTAGCAGGAAAAACTCTGATAGTGGTTTGCTAAATAAGTTATCAGTTTGGTTTTGGTTATTTGTGTGTGTGTGTGTGTGTGTGTGTGTGTGTGTGTGTGTGTGTGTGTGTTTAAGCCAGAGTCTTGCTATATTGTTCTGGCTTGCCTGGAACTCCTATGTGGCCAGGATCTCTAATTCACCACAATCCTCCTAGCTCAGCCTACCTAGCACAATGGAGTAAAGGAATGAGCTTTCATATACAGCTCTGAAATTACTATAAACAGGACCTGGATCTAATAGGGGAATGTAATGAGCACTTTCTTTTTTTCATTTTTCGAATGTTAAATCATCCAGTGTCCTTTCACCCGGGCATCGTGAATCAAAGACACAACAGCAAAGCTACCTGGAATGGTAGCTTTCTGATAACGCCCTTGGTTTTTGCCACTGTTCTAGCCTGTGTGTGTTCCCTTCCAGAATCAACGCTGGTGGCCAAGTATCAGCAGCCACTTGCTCAGAAGCTGCAGGATCCTGAACTCAGCAAAGTCGTCCCTGTAGGGGAGCAGTGTTCAGGCTCTAAATATCGGGGCTGAAAAGGCTAGGACATTTTCTGCACACACTATCAGCATCCACACATGGACCAAATGAGAAGGTTTTGCCATCGTTCCTCTGAGTCTCACTCCCAGGGAGAAGACTTCACCATTTTCTCTATGGCTCTAAGGCTCTAGGATCCTTGACATTCCCATGCCCATGGCAATAACACATTCACTCAGGGCTCCCTTAGAACTGAGGGTTGATGAGAGGGCTTCCTCTGCTCCCCACATTTCATGGACCTTGCTTATAATCTCCCACCCTTCCTGGACCTGCCTTATAACCCACATCCTTCATGATCTACATTATAATCCCCAACCCCTCACAGATCCTCTATAATAAGACTATGGCAAGGAGACAAAAGAGAGAACCCATGGCAGCATTACTGAGCTGGAAACCACTGTATGAATGAACTAGAATGGATCAGATGGAAGGACTGAAGCGCAAACGTACAGAGTGAGACTGAGGACATACTGAGAAAAGGTCCACGCATTCATGAGAAACAACCCAGTGACTAAAACATGACCGAAGACTGGGAGACGGCCTGACAGATAAAGCACTAGCATGTATGCATGAGGACTTCAGTTCCAATCCCCAGAATCCATGGAGAAGACGAGCAGTCATGGTAGCCCACTGGTTATCCTTGTACTTGGGAGGCAGAGATAGAAGATCCCTGGGGCAAGATGGATAGCTAGACTAGCCAGAATTAGTGAGCTCCAGTTTCAGGGGAAGACCTTGCCTCACTAAATAAGTGGAAAATTATCAAGGAAAACACTCAGTGTCAAGTTTGGGCTTACTACACACACACACACACACACACACACACACATACACACACGCATGTGCCATACTCATGCAAGCACACAACACATATGTATAAATGCATACACATGCAAATAAACAAAAGCCAGTTGAAGTGCAAGGAACTCATGCTCCACAGAAGACAGCTCTGCCTAGGATTCAGAGCAGGAAGCATCAGTGAGATCAGCAGACTACAGACAGAAACATACAAGAGGCTCAGTTCACACAGCAGCTGTGGGGAAAAGCCACCAGGCAAGCTGAGAGGCACACCTGGATGGGGCTGCTGTTAGGGATACCACGAGAACCACACTGACATAGACTCTGCAGCCCTCAGAGGCAGGGGAGTCATCGGAGTCAGGCTGGGAGTGTGAGCTGGCAGGAAAGCCCTCCCGTGCATGTGGGCAAGCGGCTCTGAAGAAGCCTGAGTGTAATAAAGTCCTCTGAAGTTTGCAGTCGCTGCCCGTCAGTGATTTGCTGCTAAGTAGTGCTCCCTGGGATCCTGCATCTCTAAAAACACTATTTGCTTTTTATTTAACACTGAACCTTTTGATGTTTTAGAATATAAAAATAGTAAGTGTCTTATTATTTTAAAAGCTTAGGAGAGAAACTAGCCGTATTATTAGGAAAAGAAGATATACGCAGCATAGTCTGTTCAAATATCAAGAGGTGTGACTTTTCAAATTCACATTTCAATCTTTATTTACATAAGACTTTTAGAAATAGTGGGTGTAAATATTAAACCGCCCAAGCCTGGGTAAAATTTTATTGAGAATAACTACAAATAAAGGGAAACTGATTTTTTAAAGTCAGTTTCTGAAATTTAGATGAAAAGAATATTGAGCATTAACCAAAAAAATGATATTTACATATCAATGTAGGTTTTCTGCTCATAGATTCATTTCCTATGAAACTAAAGGAGGCAAGCTTGGGGAATTACAAAGGAAGGGAAAACCCTAAGCAAACAGGTACTGTTGTTCAAACAGAATATTAGCCAAAATGATCCAATCAGGCGCTTGAGCTAATTCTTTTTTTTTTTCTTTCCCTTTAAGCCATTCAAGCCAGAACACAACCCCTCAAAGTGTAAGGAATTCACGCTACTTCCAAATCTGCCTCCGATAGACAGGAGGAGTTGAAAGCTATATCCCAAGGATATGGGGTTGGGGCACGAAAGAACCAGTCAATCACCACCAGAGAGGTTATCTGACTACAATGGGGCCACAATTCTCAAAAAGTATGACTTAGCTGTATCCTCGGGTATTTCTGGCAGTCATGGGAATCAACCTAAATAAACTGAACTCAGATGAAGGCATTTTGAATGTGAGCACTGTTCAGAAATACAGCACACATCCGACAGTAAGGCTTTGCAGACCGAGAACAGAGAGCGGCAAAGCACACTCCCCTGCAGGAGGCACGACACTGACGTTGGCTTTTGTATGGGTCTGATGACTCTAGCTACTCAGGTTGGTGCGGATGGCAGCTGCCAGAGCATCGGGTCTGTCTAAGACAGTCAGTGCCTGCGACGGCAGAACCCAGCAGCCAGTCCTGTGTCAGCTGAAGATGTGTATAAGTTACGGACTCAATCTTTTGCTCATCGGGAACAGCAATTCACTTCTCTGAAGATCTTTGGGGGGCAATCTCCGACACTCAGATTGAGGCGCACGCTCATCCGCCTGGTTTCTATGTGGAATTTAAATACAGGTCTATTTTATTACAATATTGAGAGTTCAAATTTAAAATAAAAAACCCAAGAATTATAGAGGTTATCAAAAACATATTAACTTGTTCTTAGAGTAAGTTCAAAATTAATAACAAAGGCATTATTATGCTAATATATGCTTTATGATATTCCGCCTTACAGCGGAGGCTGAAAATTGGCTGGCGGTCTTAGGCTTCCCTTTATTTTGAACTGATGGTGTGAGCACTGTGTTTCCTTTAGAAATCTACAATTTATGTAAAGTTTATGGAAACACACTAGAAAAGTTTAAACACATGAGGAAAACCCAATGCTGACTCCTGTTGAGACAATTTAAATAAGGCCATGCTTCTTCCCTAAGATGACCTTCAAGGTCTGTCCTTTAGACAAGTAGAGGGTCTTCTTTTCCTCGAGGCCACATCTACTCACAGCACCTTCACACATGCGTGGACACACAAATACTGCTTCTTAGTGGGGGTTTTACATTTCTTTGTGATTTCTAGTTCTAAATTTGAAGCTGGAACTTTTTTTTACTTCAACAGAATGCTAAAAAGTTCAAATCAGCCTTCAGTTTTATTCACGTATCTCATTCCTTATATATATGATTGCAGATTTTATTAACTGTTCTACAGATCTGATGTTGAAGAACGCTATCATTTCTGTCTCAGTGAGATCACACTTACAGACTCCCCCGCAATACATCTCAGGCAAGGCTGGGCTGAGCTCCTTCCGCCGTTCTGCAGACTCTATTAAATAAACCACAGACATAAGAAGTGCATCAGCACAGGGAAACCACTGTTTTATTAAACGAATTCTATGGGCTTGCAGTGGGTTTGGTGGCAAGAGGAAGCACATACCACTGAGCTCGGCCTCTCCTGGCCACACTCTGGTCGCGGTGCAGGCGGGCCTCGTGGCCGTGGCTCCTGGTCGTCTGTGCTCCAGGACAGCAGGGCACAGGTGCTTACCATGTGGCTGCTGTACTCATGGCCACCAGCTTCTGACCTCCTGCATGCACGTTTCTGAAACACAAAATTTCACTTCAGATGACAACATACAACACTCTGCCTGAATTTATTTTCAGAAAACTTCGGCTCCCAACATAGACCCCTGTGGAGCGGGAAAGTCTTATAGAATGCGTGGGGATGACTTTCAGAACTAACAGCCATCACTTACCTTAACCTTGTTAGTTCAAGAGCTGTCTGTAGTCACCCGGCTTGATAGATTTAAAATAGTCATTTTAAACAATTTTGGCTGAAATTCCTGTAATAAACTATTGTGGCTGGTTTATTGAAAATGTACCAAACCTATAAATTCCGTTCAAGGAACTACTTATATGCTTCAACACATCTTCCTTAGCATCGAGTTGCATTCTTTCTTAACACAGTATGCATGGCTCACTTGTGAATAATTCTCTTACTGGCATGGAAGAACAAATTACTTTTATTGATCTCAGAGTCTGCACACACAGCTCGTAACCAGGTAATGGGGGAAAGTTAACATTTGGCTTCTACATCCACATGAGCTAAAGAAGGTTAATTACGAAGATAGTCCTTCAATACTTCAGAAGAAAGTAATGTCCTAATGCTCCAAGGTACATTCCTAGAGCCACCCTGTCCTGGACAAGAGTCAAGAAGAATTCTGTAAACACTCACCAATCTACCCACAGCCCAGGGCCAGCATATCCTTCTGGTGGCCACCCAGATGGGCCTGCTTCTGGACCCCTGCCAAGCCAGGAAACATTTGCTGCATGGCTCCAGCTGTATGGCTCCAGCTGTATGGCTCCAGCTGCATGGCTCCAGCTGCATGGCTCCAGCTGCATGGCTCTAATTACATGGCTCCAGCTGCATGGCTCTAACTGCATGACTCCAGCTACATGGCTCTAATTGCATGGCTCCATCTGTATGGCTCCAGCTGCATGGCTCCAGCTGCATGGCTCTAATTACATGGCTCCAGCTGCATGGCTCCAGCTGCATGGCTCCAGCTGCATGGCTCTAATTACATGGCTCCAGCTGCATGGCTCCAGCTGCATGGCTCTAATTACATGGCTCCAGCTGCATGGCTCCAGCTGTATGGCTCTAACTGCATGACTCCAGCTGCATGGCTCTAATTACATGGCTCCAGCTGCATGGCTCCAGCTGCATGGCTCCAGCTGCATGGCTCCAGCTGCATGGCTCTAACTGCATGACTCCAGCTACACGCTCTAATTGCATGGCTCCAACTGCATCTACACTCAGTTGTAAATCACTGTCCTTGCCAAGTCAGAGTTTCCCCACCTGTGTTTGTTATCTAGGGTGTCATTTATTTAATAATTCCTAATTTGCTCTGAAAATTTATTTATTCATTTAAAGTTTCAAATATATAGTGTGTTTTAATCATCACCATCTGTATCAATTATTTTTTTATTGCTGTGATAAAACACCACGGACCAAAACAACTCACAGAAGACTTTATTTGGGGCCTGGTAGTGGTGGCACACGCCTTTAATCCCAGCATTTGGGGGGCCAGAGGAAGGTGGATCATTGTGACTTCAAGGTCAGCCTGGTCTACAAGAGCTAGTTCCATGACAGGTTCCAAAGCTACAGAGAAACCCTGTCTCAAAAAAACAAAAAACAACAGAAGACTTTATTTGGGCTTACAATTCCAGAGGGGGAGAGGCCAAAAGGATGGTGGTAAGAGCCAGAAACTTAGAGTACACATTTTTTTTTTCAAGACAGGGTGGGGTCTAATGTCAAACTCACAGAGATCCACCTGCTTCTGCCTCCTAAGTGCTAGAATTAAAGACATGCGCCATCATAACCAGATTCCACATTGTTTACCACAAGCATAAACCTGAACATGATGTGTCTTTAAATTCTCAAAGCCTTTCCCCAGAGATACCACCTACAGCAAGGCCATTCTTTCCAATCCTTCCCAAGGAGTTCTACCAGCTGAGGACCAGGTATTCAAACTTAGGAGCCTCCAGGGAGCACTTCTCATTCTAACTCTCACGCTCCTCTTCTTGGCACCCATAAGCCTCTGCTCATATTATAATGCAAAACACATTTAGTGCAACTTCAAACGTTCCCATAGGCTTTCAGTCTCAACCCTGTTTAAAAGTCCAATGTCTCTTCTGAGACTAAAGACAAGCTCCTAACTGTAACCCCCTGTAAAATTAAAAAGCAAATGAGATACTTCCAGCATACAGGGGCACAGAATAGACATTACCATTCCAAAAGGGGGAAATATGGGCCTAGTCAAAAGCAAGGCAAAAACCCAGCAGGGCAATCTCCAAACGCTCTAGTTACATGCCTGGTGTTAAAGGGCTTTGATAGCACGCGACCTCTCCAGCTTTGCTGTCTGGAGCACCAGCTCTCATCCTCCCACCACTTCTCCCACCAAAACCCTTCTTCTTTCCATGAAGTCTCCCGCCAGTTTCCAGGTCTTTGAGGGTATATGTGTGCACATTTTCATGTGATTTATTTAGGGTTGTTTGCATGCGCATGGGTAGAAAGTTATTTACTGGTGCATAGACTACTTGTACACCACTGACAAAAATGACACCTCGCCCCCAACTCCTACAGCCACCATTACCTGCCAATAGTCCCATCAGAGAGTCGGCTTTGTTGAAACCTAGTGGGTTTATTCAAAGAGGAGACATTTCTCCATGGGTACCTGGGATTAAGAACTAGATTTACCACAGGCATTTCCAGAAACTAACCTAGTCCAGAAAACCCTCATAAGTGTGCCTGAAGGTTTGTCTGATTCCACATCCTGTCAAATTGACAATCAACACTAACCATCAAGTACCAAGGCAAAAAGTCAAAACAGGAAGAGACATGGTCTCTCCCATCATATTAAGGAAATCACACTATGACCAGGACAACGTCTGCAGAAAAGAAAGACAGGCTCAACACCAGGAAATCCGTGAGCACCATTCCTGTTAGTTTTCACAAGGAAACAGTAACACGATTATCTCCAGAGAGACTCAAACTAGTTTGAAATGTAAACATCATTCAGGACAAATCAAAAACAAAGAACACTAAACTAGAATAGGAAGCAAATGCGTTGCGTTTTTCTTTTCGTGTTAATCTTCCTCAAGACAGTAGTGCCCCTCTTGCACTGTTGGTAATTTCTTACCAAGGCTGTCATTGTTTACTTGCCAGTTTTTGCACAAGTCCCTACCCACTATCATTATACAGTCATGGTGTGCTTTAGTGTCCAGAGTGTTTTCCTTCCCAGTGTGCTTCTGTCTTGAGGATAACCAACAGCTGTTTAATTAGACTATGGCCCACTCAATAGAAGAGGATTCATTTTTGGTACTGTAAACCTAGCCAGCTACTTGGCTAAAGAGGGTATTTAAGAGTATTTTAAATGGCCTAGCATAACCTCTGGTCATGTTTCTGGATTTGAAATGTCCCAAATTATGAAAATGTTTTACAAGTAAACATAATTCTCTCCATATAAAAACTCTTCTTGAATCACATAGTTGCACAACACACAGCACAGGAAACAAACGTAGGCTGACTTATTACGTGAATCTGTTTCCAGTCTGTGTCCCGAGTGGACCCTCAGCCTAGAAGGGCTGGCCTTTCTAAACTTATCCCCTAAAGGACAGCTGTGGAATTCCCACAACTTCATTAAACTGATTGGCGATGGCCCAGAGTTGCCTTTCAACCACGAGTCCACACTGACCTGTCCAGCAGGACACAGTAGACCACAGTGATGTACTTGGTCCCGCCCCATGGTTCTCCAGCCCTTCTAGCATGCAACCCTTTGCCAAGACACTGGGAAAGCAACTAATTCTCACTTTCTGCAAACGTGGAGAACAAAGCAATGTTTATCTCTCCTTAAATTCTAATCTATGCATCAGAAAGCCTTATGTCCTTTCAGCTGTTGTTCTCAAACGGTTTCCCTGGTGGGGGGGGGGGTTCTCTTTATCTGCCTCTGTTTTCACTGATGCCCCCAAAAGGAATAAATAAATCCAGCAACTATACGTACATTTAAAAAAAAAAAAGGCAAATAGACCAATTCCACAGAGTTCAAAGTCCAGAAAACTCTCCAAATTATATGGAAAGTTGTCACCCAAATCACTGGGTTATAAATGGACTCTTCAAAAATTCATTTATTTTATGCATATGAGTGGGTTTTTTTATGCATGTATGTGCACCATTTGTGTCCCTAGTGCCTGGAGAGTTCAAAAAGGGCTTCAAATCCCCTGAAACTAGAGTTATGACGGGTGACAGGAACTGAATCTGGGTCCTCTGCAAGAACAAGGGCCTTAACCACTGAGCCAGCTGTCAAGCCACAGCCTTCATCTTAAAGACAAGATTTTGCTATGCATCCTCTGCCAGCCTAAACTCAGAGCAATCCTCCTGCTTTAGCCTCTAAGTGACGGGCTATAGATAAATGCCAGCACACCTGATCATAATGTAAGTTATCTGGATAATTGGGTAGTAATTGGAAAAAGAAAAAACACTACCAAAACCTTTATCTCCTTCTTCCTCTCTCTTCCTCTCTCTGTCTCTGTCTCTGTCTCTCTTGGTTTTGGTTTTTTAAGACAGGATCTCACTATGTACATCTTGCTGATCTGGAATTCTCCATATAGATCAGGCTGGCCTCCAACTCACCTAGACCTACCAGCCTCTGCCTCCCAAGTGATGGAATTAAAAGGTGTGTAACTACTACACCTGGCTTTGATGTCATATTTAAAAATAAACTAATGGGGCTAGAGAGATTATTAGCTAAGAGCACTGGCTGCTCTTCCAGAGGATCAGAGTTCAATTCCTAGCACCCACAAGGCAGTTCACCACCATCTGCAGCTTCAGGGGATCCTACACCCTCTTCTGATCTCTGCATCAGATAGCACAGGGTGTACCTACCTACATACATAAGACAGACAGGCTAGGAAAATAGCAAACATAAAAAAGGCAGGAGACACACATGAGTGACTAGCTCCATAACCACAGTAAAGGGAAATATTTTCTAACTGAAACTCAAACCAGAAGGCAAAAAAAAAGCAACACTGCTGCATCTGACTACA